ATGAAGCTGGCCAAATAATTTTTTCTTTGTCTTTTATAGTACCAGAAGAAATTATTAGTTTTTTTGTAAATGTATAATTCATGAGGACCATACCAATTTCATGGCTGAAGTACATCCTATGCTCAGCCAGATTTATTGCGTTGCTGTTTTGCTGCAAAAAGAATCACCTGCATGACTTGCCAGGCTGAAGCCAGCCAAACAATGCCACTTGTAATTAAATCCATCTTAGTTCAGTTATGCAGTGGTTTATAATATTACTTTGATTATAGCTTGTGAAACCATGACCACCACTTTTACTGGTTGAAAAACCATTCATGTTTTTCTAATGCGTTCTTCCTTAGCCAAAAAAATGTCAACCTTTCCCTTTTCTCAGCCTTCATTCCAGGGTGAATTATGGACGATGTGATTAGAAATGTGAAAATGGGAACGCTGAATAGACTCAATTAGAGATGCTTTAGTGCAGGAACTGAGGTTATTTCCACCCTCCTTTCTCTGAAGACAGACCTCACTGGACTCCCTCATTCAAACTAATCTGCACCTCTTTATCTCCTCCTGCAAATCTATTTACCAAGCTTTAAAAGCATTTCTCAATGTTTAGACTCCATTAATGAAACATTCCCGCCTGCCCTCCTGCGTCCCAAAAGAAAAAGCATTTAATCTCCATCAAATGTTTAAAATAAAATACTGTATGTGTATTTGGCTGCTCTAAATTTGATTACCGTATCTTCTGTAAAACAATTAATTGAGCTGGTAAACCTTTCTTCACTATTTATACTGTTATGATCACAAAGTGGAACTTTTGCTCAGTTACTGCATCTATACTCCCTTTCTCCTTATCTTTCTATGAGATTATCGATTATAAATCATACATATGAAGTGGCTTAATCCATAATTTAAAATGTTACTGCGTTAGATAAGAAAATATCATACCAAGTGGCATTTAATTTAAAGAAATATAGCAAAAGGGCACTTTTCAGGTAAAACGTATCACAAATTTTGGACTCAAAATTCAAAAACTGCTTAGAAGATGCCACCATCTACTTATGCTACTTATTCATATATCTACTTGTTAATTTTTAAGTGTGGTTGCAGTGTCTAAATACTTTTGGTGCCACTGTATAATGTTAACACTTTCGAACTGTTCATGAAATTCTGTGGTGGCTTATATGGTGACTTATCTCTAGATGTTGTCTGGCAGGGCTTGGGTCCAGACAAAGGCCTCAGGAATGAAAAAGCAGACTTCTGTTGATGCCACTGTCAAATGCGTTGTGATTATAACAGAAAACTTAGAAGGCTGAGATACTCGTCTCCTTTGGCGCATTAATTGTGCCAACTTTTGACCTGCTGGCTTTGCGGGAGAGATGAAAAGCTCATTAAATCCTGCATGGTGATGTGGGGTGATGTGGGCTGCACTGAACCCCAGTAATGGAAGGTGAGGGTCCTTATTGTTTCAACAGGGTGAGCAGGATCATGTGAAGGTCCAGGTACAAGACCGCAGGGTGAAGAGAACTGACAGCTTAGGTGACACTTCTCGAGTAATGCCAACCAAATGGGCAAAATCAATTACTGTGGCACTGCTGATATTGATTCTTCATGATTAATCTCTTGTGCTTGTATTTTTCTTTGCTTGTTTCAGTGCGGTTTGATTTTAAGCCTTATGAATGCAGCAGTGAGCTCACTAAGCCTGGCTGCGTGAATTACTGGATTTACATTACTTATAATGCAAAATGATTTATGCTTTGTGTAAAGAGGCAATTTGCTGAGCTATAAAGCGTCAAAAATTCCCATCGCTATATGTTCACTCACAATGACGCAGATCTATATTATTAAATCATGGCCCACTTAATATGATTGGGAGAGGATAACTTTAGTTTGACTTACACTGATTTGTAATTTACATTATTGCTGCTATCTGTCATTAGATTAGAAAGTTATTAACTTTAGATTTAAACAGCCCAGGGCTCCAGTGATTATTAGAACATGTTGTTCCAAAAGGCCTGGATTATTGTGACTATGCTTCGTGAGCACGTTGATAGTTGGAAATAATTTGGTGAAGAGGATTTTTATGCCATCTGTACTAATGAGTTGTGCAAAGTTGGGTAATATAGAAGCTGTCTTAATTGGCTGGGAGAACCATCTTGTGTTGAAGACAGAATATAATTCAGATCTTTGCTGGTTGCTCCTTACTCATCTTAACAGCAACAAAAAGAAGTCAAGCCACCAGCCTCACTAACATAACACAGAGTTGACAAGTACTCTGTCTTCAGCCATTGAAGGGATGAATTTGTGTTCGTGTCGTCATAATTTTTCTAGAAAGAGGTTTTGTTTAAAGCTCTTGAAGATAAAGCATGAGATCACAGTGCTTTTCAACACCATAATGCTTGTCCATATTAAATTAAAAGTGGCATTAACTGCACAACCAGTCAAACATCAGCACCTACCTATATATATATATATATATATATATATATATATGTATGTATATGTATATA